CTTTCCCTGGCAAAAACTCTATTACAAATAACAAAACAAAACAAGTATGTTAGCTGTCCAAATTGTAAGTCAATGTTGTCCCTTTTGTTTACATACTGAAATTAAGCAATTGCTTTACTCATTACATTTCATACTTATAGGTCTATGTGTGCTGTTTCTTCTCTTTATATGTGGAATTATGTGATTTTTAAAATTTATTTTAAAGCTCATAATACCTACTGGAAGCACTGTATGAAAGGTTTTTGAATGAATTTTCTCTACCACCTACAAAAATTTGCACAGACATTAAGTAGTGAGAAAAATCAAGTCCTTTAACTTTTTTCTCCTCCATGCTCCTCTAGGGATTTTGGGCACACATGCACACACTCCCAGCATGATTTTCAAGCCACAGGGTTTGGGACTCAAATCATGATCAGCCATGTGGGGGTCCAGCGCCTTAAACACCACAACTCTAGCTGGCCCCTCAAATTTTATTTTTAATAGTAAATACCAGCCAATTAAAGTTAAAAAGGACCAAATTCTTCAATTATCATCACTTAATACAGCTTTATTGCTTATCTTTTAAAGGACACAAAGCTCTTTCAGAATGAAAACTCTGCCATAAGCTATAGTACTATCAGTACAAAACATGTGCTGAAGTCATCAGATGAAATATAACTTTAGTGTGATTGCTATTCATTTAACTAAGAAAATTAAGAAAGATTTAAAAGAGAAGGGACAGTAGTAATTTAATTGCCATGGGAAATTTGGGGGAAGTAATACTTTAGGGTTAGAATTATGAATAGTTATTCATAAAATTATTTCCTGGATCTAGAGCAACTTTAAAAACTGCATATGGAAAAAGAAGTTAAAAGTGTTATCTTTACTATAGTTATTAATACAGCCTTTCTCAACTTGCCAGAAAAAATACTTATTTAGAAAAAGAGGGAAATAAAACATCACACTATCACCAAAATGTGTTACTGACAGAATCTATCAAAAACACTGTTTTGTTCAACATTATATATAACCAGAACCTAGCAAAGTGCCTGGCACACAGTAAGAACTCAGTAAGTAATGGTTCAAATGAATGAATACAGTAATGCACTGCAAGCCAGTGAAACAGAAAAGATAGTTACCAGTTACTCTGTGAGAGAGGGAGCAAGTCAGCTAAAGAGCTTTGCTCCTCTCTCTCAATCTATTTTCTTCTGGTTCAGAAACATACCAAGCCCTGTACTAAGAGGAAACCATACAGCTATTTCTTTATTGTATGAGTTCTGTTTTTGGAAGAGCAGCCAGGAACATTTCCTATTGTCCCTCTCACCCCATTATTGCTCTGTAATTTAGACTAAGTTTCCCAGATAAAATCCTGGCAAGTAGAAAGGAAGGACTGAGAGCTGTGAACTACATTCTTAGAAAAAAGCCATTCCATTCTCCTCTCGGGATCTTGGGCACGCACGCACACGCGCCCGGCGTGAGTTTTAAGCCACCGGGTCCGGGACACGAACCGCGGTCGACTACGTGGGACTCCAGCGACATAGCCATTACGCTAACTGCTGGTTCCCTGAACTACATTCTTAGAAAAAAGCCATGCGTAAAACAATGTGTATATGGCAGATATTAAGGATCTCGACTAGCAGTGACTACCTGAGGCTGTTGTTCTGAATAGTACACAACCAGGCAATGCAGAAGAAAATCACACCAAAGACCATGGAAACTAAGCTTGGAGATTTAAACTACATTTACAGGTAAAAGAAGACCAGAGTAGCCTTCAAAATGATAAAAATGTAGGATAGTGGATCATCTACATCCATTGACTTTTGGCAAACGCTTCTGAGAACAGCCTGCTGGTGACTCAAAGATAGGAAAGTCATCCAAAAATAAGAATCATGAACAAAATTATAGAAAACTGCTTGTCATCAAGATAAGAGTTTGTTATCTATGAAACAGAGTTCAGATGAAGATGAAAGGATGAAAAATAATTAAGAATTAAAATCATGCTGAAGAAACAAGAGTAGGAATAACATTACGAAAATTGTAATTCAATGATAAAGAATATAAACATTAGACATGTCCCAGAATTCATAGTAAAACATTAGAGATTAAAAACTATTAGAAATATGGGACTAGCAGATGCTTACATCACTGGCCGCCCGTGTCATCGACCGCAGTTCAAGTCCCAGACCTGGCAGCTTAAACCTCATGCTGGGTACATGTGTGTGTGTGCCCAAGATTCCAAGAGGAGATGGAGGAGAAGGGCTTGTGGTGTGGCTATACCCCCTCAGGGGTGATTTATTACTCCTTCTCTTTGTTTCCAGCGAGCACACGCACCCTATAGCAAAAATCTCTCTCTCTAAAAACACACTAAAATAAAAGCAAAAAAACCTATTAGAAATATAATAAAAATCGAGAATGCAGAAAGGAGCTCTATGCTAAAAAAAAATCCTGTTTCTTTCTTTCTTTCTTTCTTTTTTTTTTTTTTTTGAAGAATTAGTTTATTTGGGACCAGCAGTTAGCGTAAGGGCTATGTCGCTGAACTCCCATGTAGCCGACCGTGGTTCAAGTCCTGGACCCGGTGGCTTAAACTCACGCCGGGCGCATGTGTGTGCCCAAGATACCGAGAGGAGAATGGAGGAGAAGGGATTGTGGCATAGCCATCCCCCCTGGGAGATGATTTCTCGCTTTCTATCTCTCTGTCTCTGTCTGTCTTTCTGGCAAGCTCACGTGCCCTATAGCAAAAACCTCTCAAAAATTATTATTTTAACTTTATTTATTTATTTTAATTTTACCAGAGAGTAACAAAGTAAGTGAGTGAGTCAGAGAGGGAGAGAAAGTGAGAAGCAAGCCGCCAGGTCAAAGACTTGAACCATGGTCGAATATGTGGGAATCTTGTACCCTTAGCCACCATGACCCCTGCCAGCCTTCCTGTTTCTTTTCTTTTTTAAAGTATTATTATTATTATTATTGCTACAGGGTACGTGCGCTCGCCAGAGACAGAAAGCGAGAAATCATCCCCTGGGGGTATGGTCATGCCGCAATTCCTTCTCCATTCTCCTCTCAGGATCTTGGGCACACACGCACACGCGCCCGGCATGAGTCTAAGCCACTGAGTCCGGGACTCAAACTGTGGTCGACTACATGGGAGTCCAGCGACACAGTCATTACACTAACTGCTGGTCCCCAGAGTATTATTATTTTTAATTTGACCAGAGAGAGATAGGAAGGGAAAACAAGAAAGAAAGCCACCAGGTCTCGGACTTGAACCACAGTTGACACGGTGGGAGTCCAGCAATTCAAATACCACACCACCTACTGGCCCCAAAAATATACTGGATATAAAATGTCAGACAATAATCAGTGCAGAAAATACTCTACCTTGAAATAGCTTAGCTAAAGCTTAATTACACAGATAAAGCAAAGCATGTAAAACCAGAAAAATAGAAAAACAAAAAACAAAAATAGTCTACAGGAAAAGACAGGTTGACTACAGATTTCTTTGCAACATTAAAAGAATAAAGCAAGGACCGGTGGACAGTGTAATGGTAATGTCACTGGACTTCCACAGTCGACCACGGTTCGAGTTCTGGACCCAGTGGCTTAAAACCAACACCGTGTGTGTGTGTGTGCATGCCCAAAATCCCAAGAGAATGTTAGAGAAGGGACTGCGGCATGGCCATCCCCGCTTGGGGGTGACTTCTCACTTTCTGTGTCTCTGTCTCTCCAGTGAGCACATACACTCTCTAGCAAAAATATCTCTCTGTAACCAAACAAAAAACAATGAAGCAAAGTATTCAAGTTTT